TTCAAGATTCAAATATTAATTCGATAACATTTGTACAGGCCGACGACGAAAATGGACCACTGGAAAACCCAGTGCCACCAATTCAAACAGAGACAGTTTCGGGAGCCCCCAAAAATATCATGGGTGAGAACATCGGACATGGACTTGATGAGGACCAGCCTCGACAACTCCTCGAAGTTATTCACACTGATGTAAGGCTTTTTTTTATATTTTGTATGCATATCGATCATTCCTCTTAATCCCTCCATTTAAGACTGGCCCTCCCCCTCCCCATGTACCCGTTGATCCTGAAATACATCCCAGAGACCCCGAGTTAATAACAAATGGAAATCTTCCCCAAGCCAATACCTTCAGACATGGATTGGATAATGCTCAGTCCCAGCAAATTCCCGAGGCTCCCCCTCGCATTGAGGTAAAGTTTCTTTCTGTAGATAGATTTCACATAAACATACAACGAGTATTTCAATCTCAGGCGGACTCTATGATGAGTATTGCTGACGATCATGGTGGTAAGACGGATCACCGACCATTGAGTAGTGTTCTCACCCCCTCAGTGTTTGCGATTAGTCAACAAACTTTACGTGGAAATGTCATAGGTGGAGTCTACAACATATCTGGTGCCACTTCCCAAGATCAGGTACATCAATCACACTGATTACATACTCATACTTGTCCATAGATTGAGAAATCCTAAGAGACATAATTCATCGTGGATTTCTCTTCATTACTAATATTTGTTCTGCATTACAGACTCAGGTCGGGCGTGACTATCTCCAGCTTCAAGGCACGTCTGTAAGATCGAACGATGAATCGGACAATTTAATGGAAGTTGAGATGGTCGCAGATGAATCCATTCAAGAATCCAGAATTATACCACAGCTCCTTCTTGAACCTTCAAATTTAAATCCTACGATTCAAGCAGTTGGAATAGATTCATCAGTACGTCAAGTACTGGATGTTGTAAATCAAGAGCGTGTTTAAGTTCCAACACACCCTCAGCCCCAGCTCTTAGATCATCTGCATCCACCACCAAATCCTCTGGAGGAAAATATCCAAAATGCAGATCCACCACCAAATCCTCCAGAAGAAAATGTTCTTCAAATGCCACAGATTGTTCTGGAGCCGCCAGTATTAAATCCCATAAATCCACCCATCTCAGCACGTCAACACGTAATACCAGAGCCTGAAATTTTAAAGCCAGAATTTTTCCAACCAGTATTTTTTGAGCCTGAGATTTTGGAGGATTTGGATCCACCACTCATTCCAGTTAAATTTGGAGAAAATCACCAGGTGCCAAAAGCTCTGGAACCTATTGAGGCTCAAGTGCAGATGCATGTGGCGGAACATCCGCCTAGGGATCCACCCAATGACGTGGTTCGCCGACTCGTGGAAGAAGCACGTAGAAAGCGTGGTGAAGCAGAACGTCGACGACGCACTCCAATACAATTTCATGTCGGACTTCACCTGCAGAGCACAGAGATGAAAGTGTATCCAGGCCAATTGCCGGGCTCGGAGGTTACAGCTGTTGCTGATGATGCATTTTATCGCGACTTACGGCTCGAAGGGCACCTGAGATGCATAAAACAGAAGACCTTAAATTGTCCTGCAAGTATTTACTGCTTTCCTGATAATAGTGGTGAAGTTTTGGAAGTTCACAATGGGCATGGTTCAGAGCCATGGCACTGGGAAGTGGCAGATCTAAAGAAATTAATTAACTCAATGATAGAGTTTACAGACTTGAGCCCTCAGAGGATATTGGCTTGAGTAAACAATGAATATCCAGATCTTTTTCGACAGGGACACTTCTCCAAGCAAAGAGTAAACACTGCTGTTGACCGGGCGATTGTTGAGTATCGTCCAGAGACCATTCCTGTATCAACTCCCGAGCTACACTTGTTTCTCACCAATTATAGATATTCCACCAGCATTTATAGAGGCCACATCGTGCAAGGAGATTCATGCTCATTCATTTTTGCATCAGCCCCCAGCTTAACATTACTGAATGAGACTAATCATTTGTATATCTCCAGTGCAGTTAAGATAACGATGGATCAGCCACGAATGAATTACCTACTGACTGTTGCAGCTCATGGAGATAATGCTTTTGTTCCAGTAGTATATGTGTTAATCAATCATCACAGGGAACTGGTTTATCCACAGCTTGTGGACGGATCAGAGCTTTAGCCTCTGGTCTCACTAATCGACGTCTGAGGGTTACAATGCCCTATGAGCAGTCACTGGTAGATGCTGTCAACTAAAATTTCCCTGATGTGGAAATTTTTGGAAATTTATATTATTTTCACGAAATGATAATCAAACAGTGGATTGGATATGATCTCCCAGAGGCTTCTCGACATGTGCTTTGGAACTGCTGTTCGTTACCCTATTTGGACGTCGATCACTGGCAAGCATCGTTTGACATATTGATGCGCACAATTGACCAAATCGAGGACAGACCAGTGGCAATGTAACAGTTTGGATTGAACATGAGAAATGGATGGAGAGATTCAGCAGGGAATGTCTGTGGAGAGGGAGAGTTTGTACGCAAGGATCTACTGGCACAAAAACTACACAAAGGACTGAAGCGTAATTACCGCAATTTCCAAGGAAATATTTGTCTTTTCGTTGAACAGCTCATGTTCAAGATCACGCTCATGGATCAGAACAGGGCACAGAAGATAATCGAAAGATTGAATGGATTAAATGAAGCCACAAGAGAGAGAAATCGGATTCAAACCCTGAAGGACAGATTCCAGCCAATCAACAGAGACAATTTGCAGGAGTTGATGGATCGAATGGTAGATCTCTCAAAGCAACAAAGATTGAACGTTGACCATATGTCATCAGCTGAATTCATACAAATTGAACAGGACGATTTGAATGTTCAAGTCGCCAGAAATGGAAGTATCACAGTGGAGCATTCCGAAGTTATTGGTAATAATTTTCAGCATAGACGTCATTACAATGGGCCTATGCTACGTAGGAGAAATGGACAACAACAACGTCGTCCTGGGGATCAACACATTCGTTCCCATCATCGTCTTCCATATGATCATCCAATGAGCCAACACCAAGACCAAGATGGTGGCCAGGAGTATCCTCGAGGCTTGGAATGTGGTCGTGGACAACGTGGCCGTGGACAACGTGGCCGTAGACAACGTGGACGTGGAGGCTGAGGTGGCGGTGGCGGTGTAGCACGTGAAGGTAGAGATGAAGTTGAGGCTGGACAACGTGGACGTGAGGGTAGAGATGGTGGTGGAGCACGTGAACGTGTAGATGTAGTTGAGGGTGAAGCACGTGGACGTGCAGGCGAGTTTCGACAACGTGGGGGTGAAGATCCTATTGAGGGTGAACGACATGGAGGTAGGGGTGGACAACATGGAGGTGGGGATGAGCCTAGGTTGGCAAGGCTGGCCAGGAGACAGAACAGAGGACAGATTTTTAATCAGGATATAGGAGCATCACGAGCAGCTCCTGCCCAACCCCTTCAAGTACCACCAGAGAATATCGTAGTACGTGCTGAGCCACCAGCAGAGCTCGCTGGTCCTCAGGTTCCTGATGTGCTTCCAGCTCTTGCTCATGTTCCTCAAATGGGAGACAATGCACCAGCAGCACCAGTCAATCCTCCAGGAGACAGTGCTGCAGCTGGTGCAGCAATCGCTCTTAATCCCCCACTGAATGAGGCCGAAATTTTACCACCACCATCGATGGCCCTGCTGTTCAAAATCATCGCAGAGTGTCATCGTACATTTGCATAATTTGTACGGATGGGCCCTCGAATACAGCGCTTATACCATGTGGTCACATGGTCAGTTGTCCACAGTGTGCACTGCGATTCATCGGAGAGGATTGCCCAATTTGCCGTCGAGAAGTCGAACGGGCCTCCAGGATTTTTCCAGGAGGAATCGAAGTCATGGATACGGAGTAAACACGTCTAGTAGAATTATTCTATCACCAAAAATTATTATTTTTTCTGTGAGACTCTTATGAATTTTTCGGTTTCAATTTCAGTTTTGTTGGAATGGTTGAGTTATTATTTTTTCCAGGAGGAATTGAAGTCATGGAAACGGAGTAAACACGTCTAGTAGAATTATTTCATCACCAAAAATTATTATTTTTTCTGTGAGTCTCTTATGAATTTTTCGGTTTTAATTTTAGTTTTGTTGGAATTGCTTGAGTTATTATTAATATGTTGACTATTTTTCTACTCGAATTAGAGTTACGTGAAGTCACGTCGTTAGTTTTTTTTCGTTTCAGAATTTTAATTACGTTGTTCTTCGTTAGCTCGTTGTGGGAAAAAAACCATTAATGTTTGAACATTATGACGACAATTTTTCAGTTGAATTGATGCTATGTGAAAGTCGCTATTAGTATGAAATAATGATTGTGACTAAATCTGAGGTTTTTTTGAAAGGATAAAAAAATTAATATTAATATTAATTAATGTTTATTCAAAATAAAGTTGTTTAGTATTTTTCAATGAGTAGATTTCGATAATAATTTCTACATTAAGATTGTCTATTTTGTAAGTGTAATTATTTTGATATTACCATCTCTTTTTTGTGCACACAGGGAGGATAGTTAAATTTCGGTATGAATGACGTAATTCTTTAATAGTGTCTCTAAGTGCTGGGTTTGAAGTTCAATTAGATGATCTCTTGTTACATCTGCACGTCCATCCCTTCCATCTGACCGAGAAGTCTTAAGAATTTGACTGGCAGAAGGAAAATCTCCAATCACTTCAGGGTTTTCAAAAGGTTTTGGAGACTCTGCAGGTAATTGTGAAGGTTGAAGGATGTGCACCAGTTGTTGAGTCATGAAGGCACCTCCAAGATCCTTTTCCTCATCATCTTGACCCCCAAACACACTGCCCAAATTCTTGGAAATTGAATCGTCAAGACTTTCACAATTTTTTTGATTATTTTGAATCATTTTCAATAATTCTACCAAGAAATTGAATCACTCAAAATTTTATTCAAAAAAACAAATAATTTCCAAAATTAAGAACATTCATCATCCTCCTGACCATCTCGCCTCTTCAACCCATGCCTATACATCGTCTTGAACACTCTATCCACAAAAATACCTCTTCGAATAATAAAAAACTCATTAGGCACAGTGAGATCAACAACAGTGGATCCCACTCTATAAGACTCATCCATCTTATTCTTATCACCAATAGTATAAAAAACCCCCCCTAATTCTGCCCACAAGTGCTCAAACTCATTAGCAGTCAACGAACTAGGCTGATCACTGGAATTAGCACTGGTAAGAGTCAAAGGCTGATCTAAAATCCTGCACAAACTCCTCAAAAACTTGCTCTCATTGACTCTAATCCCAATAGTCTCATTCTCAGGATCCAACCCTTCATTCAACTCTGGTTTCCTCTTCAAAACAATCGTCACAGGCCCAGGAAGAATAGCCATGAGTAAATTATTCGGAAGATGATCGAGTTCAGCCCATCGTTTAATGTCCTTAATACTGCTCAATGCAATAGCCAGAGGTTTACTCTTATCCCTCCCCTTTAACTCATACAATTTATCAACACATTTGCTGTCTTGTGGCAGTGTGGCTAGCCCATGAATAGTGTCTGTTGGCACAGCAATGATTTTACCTTCTTGAAATAATTTAACACCGACAGCTAGACATCTTTCACCTCCAATGAACCAGTGTTTAGCGTTGGGAGGCATTCGACTCATGACACTAGTCACTTGATTGAGAGTGACCTTGAGAGGTGGCTGGTAATGAACTTCCATTATTGTTCTTATCCCAGGGTTATTCGAGAGGGTTTTTATTGGGTCTATTCTAGCCAATTGTGACCACATTGGGGACTGCAACATTTGTAAAAAATTGAAAATAATTTATAATAATTTATCCTTTGAATTGCTCCTGGACTCGTTGAATCCCTTGCTTTCTTCATCTTTTCTACCCCTCAGCGATAAATTAGACTTTTTTCAAGCAGGGGATGGGGTCAAAGAGGTCGACGTAGCGATAAATTATTGAAATTTTCTGGCAATTCGAATTTTTTACATGGAGTTTTGATTTTGATGGATCTAGATTTCTGGTGGCCCTAGATGACCTAGGGATTTTTCAATGTCTTCCGAGTCTGAGTTTTGTCGTCATTAATCACTTGCAACAGTACAACAGTACGAAGTGAATTAAGAATAGCACCCAATAATCCTAGGAGAGTAGAAAATGGACCTTCGATTTAATAGGGCTGGTGTCTGTTTGTAGTCCTCGCGCCGCGTCCTCGTCCACAACCCCTTGCTCTTCCATTGTGTCCACCTCCTCGGAGATTACCCCGTCCAGCTGCAGGACCATGCCTGGCATTATGAGGTGCGTTTCCTGCTTGTCGTGAAGTGGAAGGCTGATTAATGCCATTCTGCTGCTCGTTGACATTTTCGAGTTCATTGATTTCTTCTATATGTGCGATTCTGCGTGGGTCCATTATCGCATTCATATAAGCTTGTAGGTTGTGCCTACATAAAAAATTTGTATTCTTTAATTGCTAATTATGAAATGAATCATTACTGATATACTCGTGTAAATGATTGAACGTTCTTCGTATGTTTGCAATTCGTAGCTCATCAGTAATAAGATAATCAATACTTTGTGATATACTAACATGGGCACTATTCAACAAACTTTTCATTTTGATTTCCGTGATAGCCATCCAGTTTCGTAATAGATCTTAAAATTCTAAAATCATAGATTTCATTATTTATATTCTAGGTACGATACAAAATGTGATGTGTAATGTCCAACAATTTTATACTAGGAAGTTAAGACCAGAATAAATTTTATGTAAGATTATAATTGTAAGTTATATTATAATTTCAGGTAATTAAGAACCGAATCCACAATTGTAAATTAAACTGAGTGAATTTCATCACCTGGACTCAATTAAAAATTCCAAAGACACCAGAATCGAGTTCAAAAGTGATGAAATGGCACACTCAGCATGCCCCAATTACTCAATACTAAGATTCGCGCGCGAAAGAACGATTGAAAACCGATTAATTAAGACCCCAAAAAACCGAATGAACTACTTCCCCATGAAAATCAAAAGAGTGGGAAAAGTCATACGACATTTTCCACCAATTAAAAATGGACTCGTTGGAGCCCATGTGACAAGTGACCCCAAAATTCATATAAAAATGTCAGAAAAATCAATATTACACAGTCTTGAAGCAGCGACGGAGCAGTAACAATTCTGGTGGAAATAGTTCATTTAATCGGTCCGGTTTTTCAATCCTTCCTTCGACTACACGGGATAGTACTGAATTAATAGTAAGTTACGAACAATTGAAATTATCCGGGAATAAAATTTCTTTAACCGAGAGTGGTGACTTTTCTTGCAAATAAGGAATTCGTTTATTGTAACGCGTTGTGGACAGTCTCAACCAAACTCTTAAAATCTTCAACTTCAACTGCTAAAAATTCATTAAAATATCAACGAGTAGAAGAAAGTGTTTCCGTGAAAGTATCCATAATAGCCTTCAGCGCGACTAATTGCTGGTGAGAAAATTACGGATTTACCCAGGGATCTACAAACACATCGAATAATTTATAAATAACAGACCGAATTGTGAGTAANCCCATTACAACTCCAAATGTCTTGATTAGAAATTCGTCTCAACTCAAGCCCTATCCCTAAATCAAGCCCTTTTTCGCTTATATTTTAAAAAAAGGTAAGAGTATAAAACTTTGCGTCGTCCAATCATTATAAAATTCAATAATTTTAGCTTTGATTTTAATGTGACAATTAAAACATGTCCATTCGACGCTAAAATCCTTCTCTGGATATAACAGATGTTATGATACTTACGCAGAAACGTCCAAATATTAGGGTGGACACCCCCTAGACGTTTAACAATGTAACGGTTGAATGACTCAGCCACATTGTTTGTCCTCACCGGAGTATCCATCGTTGAGACAATGTTCTTTAATGGGAACCAACTTCTCCGTAAATATTTCGCAAAGTCCAGAGCTCTAGAGAAAACATTTAGGGGTAGGCTATTCAATTCTCTGTAAGTATAATGTCCAAGGCCTCATCCCACAGGCTTGGAGGCACTTTTGTCAAAGACCAAGCCATCCATAAAGCATCTCTCTTAGCCCCAGATAGATGTATTTTCCGCCAATGACGAAATGTTGCCTGTAATAATAATCAATTGTTCTATGATCCTTGATATTGTTATATTCATGACAAAATAACTAATTAGATACTATGATTTCAGCATTTGATAATTAATATAGAAGCAAAATTATGAAGTTACTCAATTGAACTCATCAGGATTACATTGATTTCTGTAGATGAAACCATTCCTTTGTAAATACTAGAAGATGCTTCGTATGTCTGCAACAACTGTTCCAACCCTTGTAATTCATCGGGTATTTTCGGTTGATCTTTCATACGTCTCTGATTGACAATTACTTGTACCTTTGATTCTGTCAGATGGTTTTTTGCAGCATTGGGGTACCTAAATGGAAATTAAAAAATTGACGAATAAGGATTTGAGAGTGCAAAATGCAATGTTGGAAGCTGGAGACTGCTAGAATGGCAAATAAATTACTGAACTGCCCATAGGGCTACAATGAAAATAACCATAAGAAATTCTGAGAATAAAAACATGCCACAGGAGAGAAATAGGTGTACTGAGAGATATTTTTTTACGTATTTTTTCAAATCCATTTTGTGAGAAAAAATTAATTATAATTTTTTAGATTTTTATGAAAAATTCTTCTTTCATCTTTCCTATAATTTGGATTTTTTTTTGAACTTAATTATCATAATTTTTCTCACCAAATGGAAAAACTGATGTAGATTTGACGAGTAGAATACAGTAAAAATCAATAAAAATAAATCAGTTAAATCAGTTAAACCGTTACTGAATAATCTCATAGAAAACAAATATGTAACTTGCCGCAATGCAGCTAAACCGTAAATTTCACTCGGTGACTTTGCCATATCTTCCGCTAAGATTTTCACGTATCTTCTCATATTAGCACACTCCAACAAATATCCTTCTGGATCGTGCCCCACATGCAACTCTTTTAAATAGAACGAGCTATCAGAATTGAAGCATAAAGCCCCTGGACAATCTCCTGAGCCACTTTGAGCACATAGCAAAGTTGTTGAACTGTTTGTTTTATGCCAGTATTTAAAGCCCCTGTGTAAGAATACTTGTGATCCTGATCGCTGTCCTTCGATTACCACTATTTCATCTGCTGCGAATCGGTGATATCGAACCTGAGCAGTCAAAGCCAGTGTGACTTGATCATTGAAGATAGGCCTTTTACCATGTTCTTGTCTTCTTCCTCTTCCTGCCTTCATCTAACGTAATGAAGAGATTTAAGTTACAAATCACATGAGGAAATGCCTCATGGATTGCATTGATCACTGTCCATAATATTCAGAACGAATGTAGTCTCCACTAAACACGATAATTATCATTAATAATTTTAGTAAAGTATTCTGCGAAATAACTACTGCATGATGAGAAATTGGGAGGTGCCCCACCTGTCAACGTATGTGATCGTCACTCGTACGAGAAGCCGTCAAACATAGATAGATATAGTTTTACAAATACAGCTGATCGTTTGCCGGCATTCAACTATCAATTCGTAACTTGCTGAATTTAGGAACTTTCATATGCCCACGGAAAAACGTTATCTAGCAACCTGGTTTATAATGAAAAATGATAAAAACCAATGAATAATACTTTATTCACAGCAAATTCAATGACTTGTGGAAAAATATTTCATAAACTGGTTGAAGTATTCTCACAAATGAGAACCTGTAATTGAACGAAAATTGAAGTAATGCGGTTTTCGATAGTCTTTTTTTTCTTCCCATGTACATGCATGTATGAGCCGTTTGAACTGTAACCTCAGAATGATTTCTACACTTGCAAATGTAGAACAATTCTAGCACATCAACTTCATTCGTTTGATGAAATAACATCCAAGTCACATATTACATGAGTTCCGGCAGAAGTAGAATAATTTGAAACGCTTGAAATTCGTATTAATGACACCCGTGAGGCCCTGTAGATTCCATAAATTGAAATAAACGCATGTGGTAAGACTTTCTCCATAATTAACTGTCATCAATTGATCATGGTAATAATTCTAAAGGTTTACCAATTATTATCATTAGTCTAAAGAGGATTTTTTTTTCTATTTTTGACAAAATTTCCTACAATATAGTGAAACTATAATTTACATCCACAATTAATATTATTTGAGATCATGTTCCAATAAATTTGGCGTACCAAATTCTTCACCAAGACGTCTCAATAAATTAGCATCGAGTGATGAATCATGGGTATAAAATGTCACCAGTGTAGAGATAACGCAGTAAAGCTGAGAACATATGAACCTTGGGATTTGGTGCTCTTAGGTCTAGGCATATTCTAGCACCATAACAGCCAGTAATTAACGGAAGTAGGGACATTGGGCTTATGAGAAACCTCTGTGCACGGGAAAACATGCACCACAGTACACGAGATCGAGGTCTGTACAATGTTTATAGTCGTAGAGGGTTGATAGATCTTGTTTGAACGTTGTGGCTGAGGGTTGAGTTAATTCTGCCTGCACATGGAGATCTTTCAGCGCCGCCAGGGCCTCATATTCCTCTAGGAGGGTACTTGCTTCGAGTGGACGCCATGTGGATACTAATTCTCTTATCAGTGATAAGTTATCACGCTCTACGATGACGAAATAATTTTTTATAGTGCTGCAAAACCTGTTACCTTCTTTTTCTATCTTTGTAATTTTAATTGGAATTTTCGGTGAATAATCTTGAATTAAGGAGGTTTCTTTGTGGTAGAGGGCTGAA